GAATACGGTAATCGCGCTTCCAAAAGGACAGAAGAAAAACGGAACTTGGGAAACCCAAAACAAAAGATTACGATGACAGCATTAGCACAGAGACCGTAGAAAACCACTTCTATATGACCAAAACAGCTTCCATGATTTGAAGAAAAGAAACATTCAAGGCACCTTTTACACGATGCATTAGGTTGCAGCATTCAGAGACAAAAGTAATATATAAAATAAGAGTAATTTCCGGTCTTACTTGTTAATGTCGTCGGATGAATAACCTGTAACACCTCCAAAGACAACTAATACATAATCCACGTCAAGGGATCTCATTATCTCAATAGCCTCGTCTTCATAAGATGACATTGCACGCCCAACCGTGGCGATATGCGTATTATTCCAAGTGTTGTTGTCAACAATAACAGTTCTGTTTCCCATGGCAGTTATTTGATACCCATAATCCCACCAGGACATCACCTTAGCATCTGGAGGAGTATTTTGCCGAAGCCAAAAATAGGCTTCACGATAATCATCAAAAATAACTCTGTTCCCGTGGGCACCTCTCGCAGCCAACACAATTGAAGGAGAAGAGTACGCTTCTGATGTGACCCATGTACAGTGGGTAGCGTACTTACTAAGCAAATAAAAGGCACCAAAGAGCAGTGCAATCGCCCCATTTTTCTGGAAAGGCTGGGATTGGTCGAGTAAAGCCTGCTTGGAAAACAAGGAAGATCATTATTTCTTGGGTTTACCCCCAAACAAATTCATAACATGTTTTAAGTCGCGACTTATTAGGCCGGGATTAGCTCCTTTAGCAAAAAGCCAAAAACAAAAGCACCAAAACAAATTCTTGCACGACGTGTTAGAACAAAGCAGGCAATTTGATGCCAAACACTAATCAACGAATTATACCCACAGTAAAGCTAGAACAAATCTACCCGTGAGGGAGAGTGCGATAAAATGGCAGGGAGATGTTACCTTCGAAGATGCCTTTGAGCTGCTACTTCCCTTAGTGGAGCCAGTTTGGACACCCTTGTTCTTCGACCTCAACAACACAGTCAAGTTCTTCACAGTAGCGGAAACAGCAATAGCACTAATAAGACAAACGGCAGGTGTGGCAACAAGAATCAATCGAACCATAACACCGGCAAAATACATGCTTGTCAGACCATACATGACAATAAATAGTGGCATCTGACAACCGCTTGAAACAGAAATAAAGACCGGCTGGGAAAAGGAAAAGCAGGATATGGAAATCAAACATGAAAGATGACCACGCCGTTGGCTGATGCTCGGAGACAGATGCAATAATAGGGATGTGATCCTTGGCATAGGTTGGATCCAGCAAAGAGTAAAACCTTCCTGTCCAAGGTGAAATATAACCAGATAACATGCCTAATCCCAAAGCAATAGTGCCCACAGCGACTGCACATGTCACGGTGATCCTCAAAAAAGCTTGGAACAATTTTGTGTCACTTAACATGTGCTTCACCCAATCTAAAAAGTAGAAAACCTGCACAAGAAGTCCAAATATGATTAATGTAAAAATCAGAAAACCAAGTCCATTTCATCATATGAAAATAAACTTGGTTTTTTTCCCCTACTTGCAATGACCTTCGGATAACTAGAATGCATGCCAAGAAGAATTATCCCACTCAAAAACAGGTTTCACTGAAAACTAAAGTTCCTTTCCTATGTTACCTTCAACTTTTGATGATAAAAAACACTAGTTCCACTAAAATGGAATAAACCAAACATCGGAAAAGAAATTCCCTCCAGTTTATGCTTGTGCTTAGACTTAGTAATTATTATACCCTTGTCATGTTCAACTATATTATCGGGTCATAATCATATTTGATTTAAGATTTTTATACTTGAAAATATTTTGATACACTAATAATTCATATTATATAGGTTTAGCGACATTCATGTATCGGTTTTTGTTCTGATCATCGCATAAGTAAAACATAAACCAATTGTTTCAACTAGATCAATGCTACAAAAAATCATAATGCTAGGCTAGAAAAATAAAAGAAACAGCTCGAAATATCATGCAAACCTGCAACAAGAAGAAGACTCCCATGGCGGCCATATGTTCACCAGACTGCACATGTTGAAACCCAACAAACCGAATCTGCATAGCAAGCAACATTCCCAAAACATACATACAATTATACGCAACATATAATCTCATCGAATACCTCCCGGTAATCAAAAGCACCAGTACATATAGTGGGATCAAGTTAATAATGAAAACATATCCTCCCCAGGCTGAAACCATGTAAAAATAACCGAAAGCCGAAGCCAAACTCCAAGCCAACGATCCCGTATTAACCGCCTTCACAAACAAGTAAAACGTGGAAAGCAAGGCGAAAATGGCGACCCCTTCATTATCATAAGAACCGGCGACGGACCTCGATATGTAACCGGACACACGGCGATCAGAATGGCGGCAACGAGTCCGGCGCCGGTATCCCAGATTTCTTTCCCGAAGAAATAAGCGACTAGGGTAGTATTCGAAGCGAAAAACGGGGCGGTCAAAACGCAGACCTCGCGGATATGGACGGCGAAACGGAGGAAATGGAGGATGCGATAAATGAAAACGGCGGTCACCATGAGACCGGGGTAAAGCGTGCCACCGACGATTCGGCCTAAAGGGTACCAGCTTTCGTAGTCGAACCAGTTCCAGAAATCGTAAAACCCATTTTGGGTGAGGTAAAGAGTGGTGCGATAATTGAAGTATGGGTCGAATTCATGGATCATGGATTCATAACGAAGAACAGAGAAAAGACGGGTAATGAAGGCTAAAATGTAGACGAGACAGAGGATCGAGACGCGGATCAAGAGTTCTTGTTGCTTGGTTTTGAGTTTGAACGACTTTACCAGATCTGAAATGGGCATGTTCGCCATTGTCGACATGGTTTGATTTACTGAAAATTATGGGTCTGGTAAAGTTTTTTTTTTTCTTTTCTAAGGGATCATATCGAGGAAGTGGAAGATGAAAAATTGAAAGATTTGATAACTCAAAACCCTCAAAACACACAAACACTGAGATTGTCGGAAGCAGTTGAAGTTCTGAGTTCTCATAGGACCACTTCTCTGGTCTCAAAAGCTATTCATTGTTTGGGTCTGTTAATGTTAAATTTGGGCTTTTGTACTTTTGTTTTGGTCCAAATTTTAGTTCTTTTCTTGTTGGGTTTTTTTAAGTAAGCAAAGGATCTTAGATTATATGTCGTTTTGTTTGGTATTTAATTATTAAAATTACAAATAATTTTATGATATAAAATTTTATTTTGTTGACTTTTTCATTATTAAAAGTTACAAATAGTCACTTAATTATTTATATGTTTAAATTCATCATTTTATGTTAAAAATTTAGTGGTCGTCTAAGTTTCATGTTAACATGTTGCTGAAATATAAAAAATATGATCTCATAATCTTTGAGCTGTATTTTGTGGATCGACTCTCTGTTTATATTATGTCATCGAACTAGTGCTCGAAAGAAACAATGGTATTAACTGACATTATTAAAATATAATTTTATCATATCTCAATTAGCATATTAACATACGGAAAAAGACGAGTTTAGAACATATGAATAGTCAGGTGATTATTTTATAACTTTTAATAGTCGGATGTTCAACAAAAGAATACCATGTAATCAAAAAATCATTTTATAACTTTTTTAATAGTCATGAGATTTAACTAAACACGCTCTACAGTCAAGTAATCATTTGTATACTTTAATTTTTTTTTTATGACTTGAGTGGTTTGTATGCATAGTTAGACTAGCAAACTCCTCCAAATCTTAGGCAATAGGTTATAAATATCTAATTTATTTTTTAATTCGGATATTTTATATTTAGAATATATTAGAATTCAGTTATTTTAAAAAATCAGACATAAAATAATAGATATATTAACCTTTAAATATCTATTATCAGAATTCGATTTTTATAATACAAAACTGTTATTTTTTATGGTTTAATATAAAATAGTGAAATCTGATTTTGATATTCAAAAATTTTTATGTATTTTTCTTTTTAATTTCTTAAGGAATCCGTTAAGAAGAGTATAATGATTAATCCTCCACGATCAATAAGTCTAAAGGAATAGACACTAGTCACTAGAATTTATATTCTGAAGATATATGTTAGAGCCAAAGATCTCAATTGATCTAATTATTGAAAGGAATTACTCAGATCTATGTGCGCAGCACAGCTCTTGAAAATTGAAGGTGAATGTGTTAATGAAATGTGTATCAATGTAGAGGTCCATAGATATTAACATAAATTCTATGTTCAGATATCTATTTGGTCACTCACATATTACTTTATATATGTCACTCCATTTTTTTTTTTTTGGATCATTCTAACGTTATGTTTTGATTTTTTTAAAAGTTTTCATTGATCCTCAAGTTCATGGGGCAATTCGTAATCAAGTTGTATTCGACGTAAGTGGACGGACATCTGGTGTGATGTAGATGTAATGCTGCAACTGTAATTTTCTGTTGAGAATGAACTAATATCCCAATGCTCAGATTGTGTTGGTTGATTGGTGGGACACAGTCACCTTGACCGCTTCTAAGTATCTCTAGTTCCATGGCCACTTCTTTCATCGTTGGTCTAAGTCTCCCATCCTAGTTTAAGCTTCTTTTGGCAAGTTCAGCAACTGCAACTACCTCATCCTTTAGACCATCTTTCATAACTTCAGCATCAACAATCTCCGGTAGACGATTTTCTTCCATCGTTGACAAAAAATACACGACTAAGCCTCTCGCTTCTTCCGATCTAAATTTCGAGATCTCAATTTGCCCCGTCAGAGCTCGACAATAACCACTCCGAAACTATACACGTCACTTTTTTTTCAGTGAACTGACTTGACCGAAAGTATTCAGGGTCTAAGTACCCGAAAGTCCCTAGCACTTGATCATAGTCAAGTGAGTTTGATCAATGCCTACTAATCTAGAAGTTCCTAAATCTGATACTTTCGCTCTAAACTTCTCATCTAATAGTATGTTACTTGATTTGATATCTCGGTGATAAATGGGGACCGATGCAAACGAGTGAAGGTATGAAACTCGCAACTGCCGCAGCAATGCGCAACCGCATGTCCCATGACCTCGGGTACTCTTCATTTTGGTCATGGATGAAATGAGAAAGGGTTCCATTGGGGATGAATTCATAAACAAGGACAGGTACTTCAGTCTCCAAGCAGCAACCTAATAGCTAGACAACATTCCTGTGATCGATTTGAGAAAGTATAACGATCTCATTGATAAATTGCTCGAGAAACCCTTGGTTTACAGTCATGGATTTCTTTACTGCAACAATTTTCCGGTCCGGCAACATTCCTTTGTAACCATACCTTGGCCACCACGACCTAGGATTCTGTTCTTGTTATATTGATCGGTAGCGGCTTCCAGCTCCTCGGAACTGACTAGTTTTGCTTTATCTAAACCACCATCATTTGAGACAACTTTTCTGAAACAATAACCCCCATTTATTTCAAAGAGTTCTGTTTGAGTTTAATGATCTTTCTCCTCTCCAGTACCTTATAAGCCTCCACACCCCAGCAATTAGAATCAAAATCACTAAACTTGGGCCAAGAACTGCATGAGATCAAAGTAATTGCCACTTATTTGAACAACTCTTACATAATTAATTTGGATCGTATACTAATTATCCTTCCAATTCAGTTTATAGTATTATGATATTAAGATTCAAACTTTAAACGTCGTTTTAGAGATTTAATGTCTTATACGATTAACCTAACTAGTTGTATGAAATATAAAGAATGTAAGTAGCATAGGATTAGATGTACCAACCTAGTAGAGCAAGAATGAGGATACTGTCGGGGCTCGGTTTGATTTGAGTGCAACCTATTCCATTTTTCCAGTCATCACCGTCGAAACCTTTAGAGCATAAACAACTATAGCTTCCAGGTGTGTGTTGAAAAGTCAAGCAAGTAGCCAAAACTTTCAACAATTTTGGCTGGGGATTTTGATGATTTAATGCACCAATTTCGGTATATTTTTTTGTTGATTTTTTTGCTTGGGATTATTGCACTTTAGTCATTGCACTTTAGGATATTTACAAGATTAATACTCAAGCTTCAACTATAAATATCATAACTCATTTAGCTTCAAAACTATCACAAATCATTTATTTCTCCTAATACTAAAGAGTTTAGAGAGTTTTCTTGTAAGTTATGAGTGTTTTGTAAACACTTGTAAATTTTCTCTCTTTAGTAAAAGATCTGCAGCAGTCCGGAGACGTAGGCATAATTGGTTGAACTCCGTTATCAATTTCGGATATTATTTTTCCGCTTTTATTTCGTATTCTCACTAATCTGGTTATAGGGAAATTACTCGTTCTCGTTTTATTTCCCAACAGCTGGCATCAGAGCTTTTGGTGGTGAATTTGGTTCGCAGAAATTGTCAGAAACGATCCAAACGAAGCCAGATTCGAGTGGGAGCGATGGCTGCAGACGAAGGGAAGATGAAAATTGAGAAGTTTGATGGTGCGGACTTTGGCTTTTGGAAGATGCAGATTGAAGATTTTCTGTACCAGAAAAATCTATATCAACCTCTCTCAGGAAAGCAACCAGAGGGCATGAAGAATGAAGATTTGGCTCTTCTCGACAGACAAGCCCTTGGGTTATCCGACTGACGTTATCCCGCAATGTTGCTTTCAACATAGCAAGGAAAAGACCACGACGGGTCTTATGGCGACTCTCTCCAGTATGTATGAGAAGCCATCAGCCTCAAACAAAATTCACTTGATGAGGCAATTATTCAATTTGCGGATGGCGGAAGGGGCATCAGTGGCTCAACACCTAAATGACCACAATACAACCACAACCCAGTTGAGTTCAGTGAAAATTGAATTTGATGATGAAGTTCGAGCTTTAATTCTCTTATCATCTCTACCAGACAGTTGGAATGTTATTGTGACAGCAGTCAGCAGCTCGTCGGGAAACAGTAAATTGAAATTCGACGATGTTCGGGATCTGGTATTGAGTGAAGAATTCGACGGAGGGAATCGGGTGAAACATCAACCTCCTCAGCCTTGCACACGGAGTCTAGAGGAAGAACTTCAGAAAAAATTTAAATCGTGGCAGATCGAAATCCAGAATGGGAAAATCAAGAATGGGAAAGAAAGATTTTACCTGTTATAATTGTGGCAAAAAGGTCACTTTAAAAGAGATTGTCGAGCACCGAAAAAAGATATTGGCGCACAGGAATCTGCCAACATGACAGAGGAGATAGGTGATGCCATGATTCTAAGCGTCAAACTGTCCGATTAAATCATGGATCTTGGATTCATGGGCATCTTTCCACTCCACCCTATGCCAAGAAATCATGGAGAACTATGTCAGTGTGATTTTGGGAAGGTTCATCTAGCTGATGATGAACCTTGAAGATCGTCGGAAAATGAGACATCCGATTAAAGTTGCTAAACCAGACTACCTGGACGCTGAAAGGAGTGAGACATATTCCTGGCCTCAAAAGAAATTTGATTTCTGTAAGACAGCTTGATGGAGAAGATATAGTACAACCTTTTTAGGCTATGAATGAAAGATTACCAATGGATCACTCGTCATTGCTCGTGGTAAGAAGACGGTACTCTCTATGTAACCTCAAATTTAGAGAATATCATTGCAGTAGCAGATGCTAATGGAAAATCAAACCAATGGAACCAAAGGCTTGGCCATGAGCGAGAAAGGGATGAAAACACTTTTGTCAAAAGGGAAGCTGTCGGATCTAAAGAATATAGATCGAACTATGCGAGGATTGCATCTTTGACAAACAAAACAAAGTCAATTTTGCAAAGATTGGCAAGACACCCAAGGCAGAAAAGTTAAGGCAGAAAAGTTAGAGTTGGTTCATACTGATATATGAGACCATCTTCAGTTCCATCTCTTGCAAGCTCACTATATTATGTCACCTCCATCGATGATTCTACAAGGAATATGTGGGTTTATTTTTTGAAGAAGAAATCAGAAGTCTTTGATACCTTCAAAAAATAGAAGGTCGTGGAAAATGAGACTGGTGAAACAAAGGAATTTGCTGAGTTTGAGGAGATTTCTGTAAATGATGTTCAGATCAATCCTAAAGCTGTTCAAGAAGAACCAGGCACATCAAAACTGAGACGCTTCTCCAGAATTCCTAAACCAACCCAGCGTTATTCACCTTCTTTGCACTACTTGTTGTTGACTGACAATGGTGAACCAGAGTGCTATGATGAAGCAATACAGGTGGAGGATTCAGGTGGGAGTATTCCATGAAAGATGGACTCGCTTATGTCAACAAAGACGGTAACTACGGAAAAATTGAAGTTGTGTTCAACTTCAGTTGGCATGCTAGAATAACAAGACCACAAATTGTTGCATCGATCAAGTGTGAAGACATATTAAAATCAGTCTTCAAGTGGGAGATTGTTGAAAGTCAAGCAAGTAGGCCAAATTTTCAACAATTTTGGCTGGGGATTTCGGTGATTTAATGCACCGATTCGGTGTTGTTTTTTGTTGATTTTTTTGCTTAGGATTATTGCACTTTAGTCATTGCACTTTAGTCATTGTACTTTGGGGTATTTACAAGATTAGTCCTCAAGTTTCAACTATAAATACCCTAACCCCATTTAGCTTCAAAACTAATACTAAAGAGTTTAGAGAGCTTTCTTGTGAGTTGTGAGTGTTTTGTAACACCTGTAAATTTTTTCTCTTTAGTAAAAGATCTGCAGCAGTCTGGAGACGTAGGTATAATTGGCTAAACTCCGTTATCAATTTCGGGAATTATTTTTTCCGCTTTTATTTCGCATTCTCACTAATCTGGTTATAGGGAAATTACTCGTTCTCGTTTTATTTCCCACAGTGTGTTATGACATATTCCACCTCTACTACAAGGCTTCAGTCTCGCATTCCTTAATATCTGCAAATTTTCAACATTTCAAACCAGAAAAAGGATTTTGAGCACAAAGTTAAAAATAGAAAATTTCATCAAATTGAATATGTAACGGAGGAGAAATTGATATTTCGTTACCTTGACAGCCGAGATAAGGGTTACCCTGAAACCGTCAACACACTTGCACAAATATCCGTCGTTATTATCTGGATCTATGCAAGCACTATGTGCCTTGCAAGCATAATTTTGTGGATCCTTTTGAGCTTCTGTGCAATTTTGGTTCCCGATTGTCCAATCAAGAATACGTGGGAATTCCCTTTGGTTGAAATTAGTGTCATTAAGATCTGAAACAGAGAACTTGTGGGCTCCATCTTCTACTATGAATCCATAGTTGCAAGGATTGAAACTCAGCACACCGGAATGGTTCCCAAGGTTATTGAAATAGAATTGATAACTCCACAATCCTTTTGAGAGCCGTCTGGCAGCACCCGATGCCAGAGCAAGACCCGTTTATCACATCAGTAGCACTGCTACAAAATGTTAAACATCCGTCAAATATCGGGGCCTGCTATTGGCGTAGTACAAGTATGCAATAGTGTCGCAACCGATGGCCGTGAACTTGTTTGGTATGAGATATGACGAATTCTCTGAGGTGGTGATACCCTGAACTTCCCGAGTCATGTCCCGATGAATTATAACAGTAGTAACCGATGTTCCCAGAAGAGGTAACAAACACATAACCATCGAGAGAGATGTGGAGAAGTCGAATTTCGGCATAACCGCCGCCAGGGACGGGATAACTTAAGAATGCTCTTGGGAGATTGAGGGTGGTGTCACAACGAATGAAATGTCTGCTACTGATGTTGCAACTTTCACCTGTTCCAAAAGGGTATGGGATGCTGATATTTCCGCAAAGGCTTTGGCAACCAGGTTTTGATTGAGATGCTACTGAAGCTGTTGCAAGTGTTAATGCCACTGCAAACAGAGCTACCTCCTTCAACATACAAATAAAGGCCATCACCCTCTCTCTTTCGGCTATTTCAACACATCTGAATAATGGATTGTAACTTATAGGAATTGCATATATGAAGATTAATTAATTAATTAATTAATTGCCGTTTTGGCTGCTCCGTCTTTCCATTTAATAATATAATTATAATGTTTAATTCCAAAATTCAATTATTATTTTATGACTTAATAGCTAGAGATGACATACGGGTATAATTTCGTGAATTTCATACCGCACATGCTTCAATTAAGGTGGAGAAGAGTATAAAGTTAGTGGATAGTGGGTGTAAGTCATATTCGCCATGGATTAGGTAGTTGGTGAGTTTAAGACATTAGTCGTCCTGCATCCGCCCACCCATTAAGTATTTACCATATAAATTTTGGACCATTATGAAATTTAAGTATAATTTCAGAGATTTTATATGAATCTTAAGATTTGTCCAACACTCGTCCCTTTTTTTTTCCTTATCAATAAAAAAGTAGGGAAAAACTAAATCATATATCACCGAACTTTAAGCATTGTATAATTATATCATTAAACTTTTAATTTTACCAATTATAACATTGACTCTGATTTTCATTTTAATTATACAACTGGACCGTTAAATCGTTAACAATCGGATCAAAACGATATCGTTTGCTGAGTGTTTACGTCGACATCCTTCAATCATGTTAACAACATTCAACCACATCATCGTGCCATTAATCGTTTCAGCAAACTAATACTAGAGAGACAATCTGAGAAAAAATAGTGACGGTCAAATTGAATTTAAACTAAAAGTAAGGAGAAAATTAACTCTTAAACCTTTTTTTTTTATAGATGTCACTGTCTTCAAGGACAGTTTTAGAGTCGAGCCTGTTGGTCCCAATGTGTGAAGTCTTCTTTTGAAATTGTGCGGATACTTATTCTTTTACATTATTCAAATGTTTAACTTAAATTAAATTACTTATTTATAGTTCTATATTACTCGAATCAAACAAATTATAAACGACATTCTCCAAGACATTGTTTGGACGGTTATAGCCAAACGCGTCGCTTGCCCGTTAGCCATTATATTAACACTTTTTCTCTTATTCCTCTCCTCCTTTTCTTGGGAATTTCAGGGAAAGATGTAGTTGATGAGTATATAAATGGTAAACATTCATATCTTACCTATGAACATTATTATACCCTGGAGATGGTTTCTGGGGTTCATTAAAACAACATATTATTGTTAAGATCTTATACTGATCTTTCGGCTTATTGGATCTCGCATCCTGCATGGATCCCGAATCGACTAAAACGTATAAAAAAAACACCTCCAACAAGTTCATGATAGTCATAATAATCATATTGATACGCGTACACAGTGATGAATCCAGAAAAATTTTATAGACTGAACCAATATAACATAATACAAATTTTATACATATAATTTGAGCACATACCATTAAAAAATAACAATGATATTAACATAATTTTTTATAATTATTTTTCAATCATGGCATGTTATTATCTTATGATGATACATCAAGATCACCGCTAATTTTTAAAGATGAGAGACCAAAACATAAGAAAATGTAACATTAAGTGTGATTTAAAATAATAATAGTTGAGTGACTAAATAAAAACTAACTAATAAAGGGTGACTTAATAAGCAA